AAACGAAACAAAGATGGAACAAATTTTTAAAATCGATGAATCAGTTGCGGAGCGTATTCTCCTCATTATAATGTTAGTATAAGTTAAGAACGAAAATATATTTCAAGTATCTTATTACAAAATAGCTGTTCAACAAAAGATGTCGTATCAAGCGACTAGTTACTGCTAGATGAATTAAGCAGCGCTCTGCAGGTGTTATATTATCCGACCAAAATAAGCTAACATGTCTTCTTGTCTTCATTATCAATTTGCTTTAGGCGGCTAATGGTTTAAGCCAAAGACTAACATTAGCCATTCTTTTATAGTAAGACGGCAAGTGTTTATATTTTTATTCTACTAAATCCAAATTCAACCAGATGAACTAATTGTACAAAATATGTCAATTTCGAATCAATGACAAAAATACTATAATTTATGATTCATAATCGGTAGGATTTTATTATTTTACGCCGACATATCCGAGGTACCCTGTTCGATTCCCGGTCGGATCAATATAGAAAAAGGACTTTTCTATATTATCTCGAGTCTGGGTGTTGTGGTATCTTCGTTAGCTCATATACTCCATAACACGGAGGCTTTAGCTAGTCTTCTTAGAATCATACTTTTATATATATATATATATATTTTTAAGAACTTAATAAACCGTAACATTTCACCTTAAAAACACCTATAATTGTGTTATTTGCGTTATCAAACTATCGCAATGTCTGTATACTTTATAACAGGACCGCTATTAATAATGTCGTTTGAGATATAAAGCATTATTTCGCTTTTTAATTAAGAAATTTCTATGCTAATGCGTCTATTTGGCACGCGACCGAGCTTTTAGAGACAATTTTAAAATTTTGCTATTGCAGCTCATAGCCTGCCATTATTTGATTATGTTATTAAACTTCGGAGTTTATTTGAGTAACATTGTTCAGATGAATTGTGTCACCTACTTACAATATTTTAATGTTTTGTTTGGTATCAGCGCCAGCTCAATGAAACTTGGCATCCTACACAAAACACTAGAACTTCTTACTCATATCTGTCCTGCGATTCTGTAAAACTTCAAACCCGATTTCGAATCCACTCGGGTGTCCGAATTCACTTCAAAAAGCGGCATCCGCTCAAACTTGAATTGGTAATAATGTTTCATGAAATAAGTGAAGTGAGTTTCGAAATGATATAGGATTAAAATATCTATGACACGTTTAATCAATCAATTTTGTTTAGTATTTTTATACAAAAAATGGAATTAATATGATTTCTATACTAAATGACGTGAATTCGGACACATGAGTGAATTTGAATGCGGGTCTGGATTTTTACAATCGCAGGGCTGCCCTGCGATTCTGTATCATTTCGAAACTCACTTCACTTATGTCACGAAACATTATTACGAATTCAAGTTTGAGCGGATGCTGCTTTTTGAAGTGAATTCGGACACCTGAGTGGATTCGAATTCGGGTTTGAAGTTTTACAGAATCGCAGGGCTGGATTTAGAGAATTCAACGTTATGTATACATAGAACGATATTCATTTCAGAGGGCCGCGACGTCATAGCGACGCCATGACAGCAGTGGCGTTTTCGCGGGAAATTTTAATTAATATATTTATTTTTAGGTTTTAACTTATCATATTAATAAATTTTATTTAATATGTTTTTAGAAATATTTCATGTATATCTATACTATAAAAATGTGTACACCCCTATTACCCTCAATTTTTATCATTCCAACTACATGGTTCCATTCCGCCCTATTAACATTTCTTCGAATTATTCGAACACTGTTTTTAGAATTAAAATATGGCGGATTACAGATGGCCAAAACAATAAACGGCGGCATATCGTGATATGTCTGGTTAGGTCTCGATCGAACGATTGGCTCACGACATATATAACAGTATTATGGCCACAGAGCTTTAATTTATTATACTACGATCAGGTAATTGGCATTGAAGCACCTACCTGGTATTAACATCACCATTATCTTAATATCGTCTAATTAGTATGCTTATCTGGACATTAATTAGAAGCAGTGAGACATAATAAATCGGTAACCTGTTACCAATATAGAGGTAACTAGGTTGAGATGGGCTAACGAAATCAGTAAAACCATATAAGGGTTTTATTTTATTCTCTATGGCTTCGCACGGTTTGTACATATAGCCAGTATCAAGTAAATAATTTGTATCAAATTTTGCCCAAATCGAGCTCAAAATATTCCAAGTAAGTCATAGTCCGCCCGTCAGTCATGTCAAGAGCTCAGGTATAATGGTGGAACAATATCCAAATCATGTCAAGCGGACTAATGGAGCGACACAAGATATCACAACAACGGAATCGAGTTTCACCTTCCCTACAAATAGTGCACTTTCACAACACTAAATTGAATAAAACCATTAAAATTATGCAATTTAACTTGAATTTAACACTATTTTTCAGAACATGAAACCCGAACCACAAGCTGCGTTATCAAAATCCCGCTAATACTCCACCCAACTAAGGTTTTATCGTTAATAAGCCCGTAAAAATAAAAGAGTAATTAATAATAGCGAAAATACTCCATATATCTATTTGACTAAAATGTTTTTTATGTTCATATTAATAGTGGACAAATGTGTAGTTAAACTGTGATTTGAGAAAATTTACAATAATAATAATTTTCGTGATAATATAAAAAAAAAGTTAATTTGCAGTGTAAGCGATTATAAATCGCAATTAAAATCACTGTTTTTTAAATTCAGAATAGCGAACTAAGCTATTAAGTAAACAAAACAATATAAACGCAGAATCCTTCTTAATTCAACTCCGTATACCAACTTCAAAGTCGAAAAATCAACAAAAACCCTATACTATAAGCGGCTGACTTTCATTTATTACCCGGTCACATTAACGAGAGAACTCCTTTGTGCGGAGAAAAATATGATTATGACACAGAGCATCCCTCCTATTGTCCCTTATTCGATTTTTTCCCTCCAAAATGTCCAATATGGTCGGCATTTTTCCCCGCCTCCTCGACCAGTTGAGAAATTAAAAATAAAAAAGTGTACGCCAACGGACATCAGTGTTATACAGCCAGACAAAAGCTTTTTCTATTAGACTTCCTAAATTTATTATTGTCCAGACAATTTGATTCACAGGCCTATAAAGAACCATAGAGCAACTGCTAAATAAATATCACATCAAAGGTAAAGGATTTTAGACTTTCAAAACTATGATCTTGATTATGATATATATTACATTATCAAAACATAATCTTAGATTAGGGGACAACATCACATTTTCATTTGTTTGAAATGATAGAACTATAACTTATTAACATTTTATAATATTTACCTTCCATTGGTTTTAATTGATGGTTTTCTTTTATCTTTTATGATGTGCTATTGTTATATATTATTTAACAAATAATTATATTTTGTGCTTTTATTAATATTGATAATGTTTAAATAATGTCTCTATCTACTTTTATTTTTAGTTCAAAATATTAAAATTATACTCAAAGGAGTAAAGTAGCAGCTAGACTATAATTTATGTGTATGTGTGCAACTACTTAATAATATAATTAAAATCAAATGAAGATGATTATATAATTTAAATTATGCATTCACTGTGCTATATTTAAGACACTTACCTTAACCAAACAGTTTTACGTACAAGTCAGACATATACAGAAAACAAAGATAAAATCTAAAGATGAAATTTCCTCAAGTATATCTGACCTCCTTGGAAATAATGGTAAAGATTCGAAATTTGAATAAAATGCCGTTTTATTTTTTTTTAACCCACCACCTGCGTGCCACCGCGATTTGGTGCCACTGAAAGGTACAGTCGTTATGCAAAGTACACACGGGCTCATGTATTTTTGAATAACCGCGCGCGGAATAGATAGAATAACATAAGGCTGTTATTCGGGTATTTAAATTTGCATACGCTTTTGTTTATGAAAGCTGTGAACCCCGGAGGAGTAATGTTACTTTGTTATGTTATATTTTGAGCTTTTGTTATCGTTGAAAAGTTTGTTTGAGTTAAAAGTTAAGGGGGTACAACCAAAAGATTGTCCTGTCTATCACATGTGTCGTGCAGTCAGATATATAGAGATAGAAGATAGTGAAATGGGCGGCTAAAATCTAATTAATATTTATTTAATTACTTATTCGCAAATTGTCACGATTACTGTAAAAGTGTTGCATAAATTCCTTGTCTAAAATGTGATTAATCCGTAAAAATAGTGAGTTTTAGATAACTGTGTTTTGTTTCTATAGAGAAAATTTTATTAATATCAGTTTTGGTTGTGATATTACCTTTAGAAATATGACGTAGTTTTCGCATCTATAATTACTTATTTGTACATTATTTCTCTACATAAAACCTGTAGAAAGTTTATTAGTTTGAGTGTGCGTGCCCTCTTAACTAATAAAAAGGTTCAACTAAGTTACTTAAGCAAGCTGCTTCATAAAAAACTAGTAACATGCTCTGCATCACGCTCTAGTTCATCATTTCGCCAGCATCATTGTTGTCGACATCTTCAAAAATTGGTGTTATCTATTCCAATCTACAGTCACAAACACGTCAGGTTACATAAATCTCTCTAATATCTTCTCTTGACTTTAAACTTTAAGACACTGTTGGCAGAGTTCAAAATCAATTGAGGAAGTTTGAAATATTGTGATAAACTTACGTATACATAGTGATTTATACACCCAAACCCAAAGAAATACATTTTTATATCTTGATATATTTCTATGCCCAAACCTTTCATAAGTAATAGATATTACATTAGCCTACAATGTCTCTCCATGTATTTAATGAACGTTGATAGAAGATATTTTTAACAATGAAGGAACTCGATGCCGCTTTCGTTTTGCAGTGTCGAAAGTTAAGCAACTTGAACATTGGCTGACCATAAGATGGGTGACCAAACATTTTTTTTTCTTTGAATAAGTCGTTGCTTTGTAAGTCATTGGTTCTCTACCTGCTGTCGCTAACTCCTACCAAGCCCTGGACCCGCGTAGTGAGTCATGATATTGATTTTCCCATTATAAAAGAAACAATATTAAAATTTAACAATAATTTATAATACTAGTTAATTCTTTCCAACTTCATCTTTTAGAAGTTGGTACACAAAAGAGAAATCTTTTTGTCCATATCCTCGGGATTGTACAATGCGGTACAGTTGCGTTGCGACTGCGCCTAGGGGGATGGGTGACCGGATTCCGAGTGCCATACCGCTGGCCAACTCCAGATCCTGAAACAAACAGATGTATGATTACTGATATGTGAAGTTTGCTTAGTAAATCATAGTATTTTTCTTCAAACTGAAAAATATTTTATCTTACAACGTTTTGTACCCTCAACATAGACTTATATATAATCCAATCCTTATCGAGAAAAAATATAAAATTTTAGTATTAGAAATCATAATACCTTTTGCGAAGGAAGTCGATTAAAAAATTACCACTGTGTTAATTTTTCACGCTAAATACAAATAATGAAATCTACTTTACGATTCTTTATATATAGTTATAATTTTAATCGACTTCAAAAAAGGCGGACTTCGCAAATGATTTGTTTAATAAATAATATTGCACAACATCGCTTAGGGGCTGGCCACGAGTTTAGGCTAAGCGAATTGCGGCGCGTCATGCAGTGCGGCGGCGGCGAGCGGCGCGTTGACCATGCCACGTACACCTAGTAGCGTCTAGCGGCGGTAGCCCGGCGGATGTATTTAGAAATGGCTTTGTCTAAAGTGGCACTTCTTTGTCTCGAAAGTAGTTCATATTTAGGGCAAGATATTATTAATTTAAGAAAAGGAGTGCACCGTGTGAATAAAGCGTTTTATAAAGAATTCTGGAAAACACAGTTTTATTTCATCCCACAACCTTTTAATCACATTTTTATATTTAGTTGGGGATGTTTTGACATCCATATTGGCGGTCGATCTAATATTTTTGTAATAAACTCCTCTGTATTCATTTAAAAAAAAACGCTCTAAATTCGTATAAAGTATTTTGTTCGCAAAGCTGCGTCTCAAATACATCCACTCGCTGCCGCCGCCCGCGCCGCTATGTGTCGTGGCATCCCACTCGTTCACTCATACGTTTGTTCCCGCCGCTCCTAGACCCGCACGCCGCTGCCGCGATTCGCTCGAAGAATATCGCGCGCGTTTTCGCTACGAGCGGCGTTTCGTGGCATGCTTCGAACATTTTCATACTTTTGATTTTACCGCTGACCGCACCGCGCTAAGCTGCCGCTCTCAGCGGCAAGGTCGTGGCCAGCCACTTACATTACAATAATCCAAATAATGTAAAGCTCTCTTACGAAAGTCTAAAATGACGAATACCTACATAGCTCTTGCAAGGTTCATTTTTGAATTCGCCCATAGATTTATATTTTATTGTTTTTGTCACACTGACAGATATGAGGTAATTTCTGTACACGTGGAAAAAATAGATGGCAGTGAGGCTTCCGAAAAAGATGTAAGCGACTAGCTGTTAGGATAGGTTTTGTAATATGTGAATAAGTTTATTTTAAGTGAATAAGTTCTGACTTCGGAAAAAAGTTTGGGTTCCAATTGTATCAATCTTAGTCCGTTGTACTAGTTCTAACTTCAGTGTATAAGTTTGGATCCAACTGAATATGTCTTGGTTCCAGTGAATAACTATAGATTATAAATGTTGATCCAAATGAATGAGTTGTGAGATACAATGAGGTTGGGTAATAAAACAATTTCTGTCAACCAAAACTGTGTTATATCATTTCTAAGTGTTTATATCATTTTTATATCTAACCTGGGATCTCAGACATGGTGAACCTTTAAACGAACGTGTCTCGCAACCAGAGACGTCATAATGTAAAAATAATTCAATAAGATATTGTATCAAGTATCTTATTTTCTTTGTAATAAGAGTAATAATCTATACATATATAAAAAGAGATGTGTTGAAATACGGACTGACAGACGACGTACAGCCTAAACAGCTAGTCGTAAAAACTTGAAATTTGAAGAGTACATTCGTCTTATTGCGTAGAGTTCTATTAAGGACGGATTTTTGGAAATTTCACCCCGAAGGGGGTTAAAAAGAGTCAAAACATTTGTATGAAACTTCTTTGTTTTTGGACCTATATCGATAATAAATTGGTATTTGACTAGTTTAAGACACTGGAAAGTTAATAGGTTATATTTTATTCCAAAAACCAGCACATAAAGGTATAAAAATTTTAGTAGATTGTTTTATGGGGAATCATAATGTTACCATATCAACCATTTTTACTATTTGATTTGTCACTGTAATAAATCTATCCAATATTAATTTCAAAGTGATGAAAAGCTCATGGCTATCCCACTAAACAGAGTGGACTTGAGGATATAGGTTGCTTTTATTGTGATAAGAGGGTTGTCATAGGGAGGGAATTAAAGTTTGTTTGGAAATTCGTCATTGTCGAAATTAAAATCATGAAACTTTATACCCAGATAGTTTACACGATATCATGAACAAATATTTGTTGCAACGTTCTTAGAAATGCTGTCCATAGTTATTATACCACTCGGACTAAGTCGCGGGCAAATGCTAGTACTGTAATAAAGATGGTTTGTGTTCAATATATACTCACCTTAACCATAAGTTCATTCTTAAAGCCACCATCATAATTTCTACTTGAGGGAGCGGTCGGGACCAGTCCAGGTACTGGACAGTATACTTCTGTAGACCAAGAGCGAGCTGAGGAGTTGTTTAGCACGTCCAGTAATACTTGAGGATCGAGACCCATTCTAAAACAGCATAAATGTGACTGTTAAAGCCTATACTACCAAAAATTTCTAGTACCTTCTAACCTAATGTAATCTAACTCATTTGTTAAGCAGCTATATATAAACAATGTTTAGTGTCGGAGTTTTACGCTAGCGCTAGATATTTTTCAAAATTCATATTATTTAATTAAAGAGAGACGAAATAAAGTTTAAGCTAATTCGAGGGGAAATTAGTTTTTTTTTAAATTATTTTTAGCATTAAAACAGTCATTTAAAATAACAATAATTTCATAAGCAGTAATGTGATTAAAAAGACCTACAGTGCCCAAGTTTAGTACAAAAAGTCTTTTCTTTTTTTTTCTCTCTCTTAGACATTATTATTGTACATGAACAAATGTAGTTAATAAACTTCTTTCTTTCTTTCTCTTTTTATGCTTAAACGTGATCAAACAAACATTCATGCAATAATAAAAAAATGCGAGTGATTACAATAAAAATCAAATCAGAGAAGACCCACTACAAAGCAACAAAATAAAATAATAGAAAAACTATTTATTGTAAACGATTATAATTATGTGTTACTTCAATTTCCTTTTAAGTTCTTTTTTAATATTCTTTAGAGATGCGTTAAAGAAATCTATGATTAACAGTTTCTTATATATAGTGGTGGAACGACAAAATAATGCATTTCGTTTGCTTAGTTTCTATTTAATGTTTATCACAATCTCTCTGAACCAAAAAATACCTTGCAAATTAAAGACACTTAACATTAGAATTGCATACGTATATATGTATGTACGATGGTTCATATGCTTGTATGCAATGAATTCTCAAATAGTTTTCTTTCGGCATCCGACGCCATCCATTCTGATGGACTTTAATAATATGAATTTTACACATCAGTACATTCTATGCATAAAACTGCGAAATAAAATCTAGTCTAATAATGTCGCCATGTTTGAACAAGTCTTTATTTTCTACCGATATACTAAGATTTGTCTAAAAATATTTACTCGAAACAGAACATTTGTTTCCTGCGCAAATTTTTCTTTTTAGCCAAACTCCTGAACAAAAGTATTACCTAATATCTATTGAACTTTTCCAAATTTGGCTGTTACTGCCAAATAATATATATAAAATAAAAATAAAAACTACCAATCAACTTACTTGATGCCCATATTCATACATTCAGCGGTTGCCATGCCCGTGATACCCATGAGCATGTTGTTGGCCAACTTGGCTACCTGTCCAGCGCCGACGTCACCGCAGTGGAACTGCTTGGCGCCCATCGCTTCGAGCATCGGTAATGACCTATCAAAGTCTACTTTACGACCACCGGCCATAAAAGCGAGAGTCGCGTTTTGTGCTCCCATCACACCTGAAACGTATAAGTTACATATTTATACTGGATCCCTTTTGTGGTAGTCAGAGGATGTACTATCATCATCATCAGCCCTTTTCCGTCCCCACTGCAGGGGCTCAGGCCTTCCTTATGGATGGTTAAGGAGGATGGGCCATGAACCTCCACGCTGGCCCAATGCGGATTGGAGGGTACTAACGACTGCAAATGCAGCCGGGACCAACGGCTTAACGTGCCTTCCGAAGCACGGAGTAGCTCGAGATAATAATTTTTGGTCACCCATCCCGTGACCGACCCTTGCGAAAGTTGCTTAACGATAACGATCGTGGGCTGCGGCGCTTATCCACTACGCCACCGAGCTAGGATGTACTAAAAGGTAAGAAATAATAGGGTATGTCCCAGGTTCCAGTCATCACACGCCTCACCCTCATCAATCAAAAGCATTGATTAAACAAAAAAAAAAAAATTATTGGGTCCGTATTTCCATCCAGTCAACTCAGTTTATGGTACGCCCAACGTTTTTTTTTATTAATGAAAACGTTACCATAGTTACGATTGTTTAGGTACTATTCGCTTTGTCATTGTAATTATATATGTGTCATAATATGAATCGATATCTCTAGGGACCATATGGACGAAGCCGCTGGCGGAAAGCTAGTATTTAATATTTTTAGTGTTACCTATTATATAATAAATATCAATTTCACTAAAAAGTATGAAACAAAAACATAAAAAAAATAGAACCGAACTTTGTCGTGCGGAGGGCGTCCGTAGGTTTATTAATTAATTGAATGATAAGAGCCTGATGTCAATAGCATTTTCTTGAATAAGTCGCTTTTAAGATAAGTATTATTTAACACTCTTTTAAAGTCTGGACTTAGTTCTATTTTTTGTTAAGTTTTTTGCCTTATTTTTTGTTAAGTTTATCCTTTTCTATTGCTCAGAACACCATCCTATGCTAGAGCGAGAAAGATTGTTTCGAGGATTCCGCACCTTGCTTTCGCCCGCAATCTTTCTTGGTCTGGACGGCTTGAGTGACAGAAAAGGGTTAAAAGTTAAAGAATAAATGCAAGGCATGATTTTAAAAACATTTCCATTATTAAAATTCTCTTTTTATAAACCAACGACTGTTTTCAATTTGGTCGTACGTTATATATCTTGGTATCCATCAACTTATACATCCGTCTACTTCCGCTTACACCATCTGCAGTCTTCTATTTAAACTAAGAGATAGCGATTGATCCCCAGCTGTTAAAAAGAATGTTAAGAACTATCTACTTATGGAATGTGAATCACTTAATATATTTTCTATACTGTTTAGATAACATTCCCTTCAATGCTATTAATAAACATGGTTTAAAGTCAATAAAATTACACTAAAATAGTGAATTTAGTATTAATCCAAATTCATACTATACAGAGAATAAGCAAACCTACTCTCCCTTAGAACCTCGTACTAGGTTAACCTTTGCTAAGTCTCTGTTTATTGATATGAATTTTGAATAATGTGCAGCCCATCATCATCATCAGCCGGAAGACGTCCACTGCTGAACATAGGCCTCCCCCTTTGAACTCCACGACGGACGACATTGCGCCAGCTGCATCCAGCGGCCGCCCGCGACTCGGACGATGTCGTCCGTCCATCTAGTCGGGGGTCGACCCACGCTGCGTCTTCCGGTTCGTGGTCTCCACTCGAGAACCTTTCGTCCCCATCGGTTATCGGTTCGTCGAGCGATGTGGCCTGCCCACTGCCACTTCAGCTTACAAACTTTGTGAGCTATGTCGGTCACTCTAGTTCTTTGGCGAATATCCACGTTTCGGATCCTATCGCGCAAAGAAACCCCTAACATAGCTCTCTCCATGCCTCGCTGAGCGACTCTGAGCTTCTCTAAGAGGCCAGCAGTTAAGGACCACCATGTGCAGCCCACATGTAAATTTACTCCAACGTTAAACTTTATTTATTAAGTTAGAGAGTAAGAGTTGGATATAACACTGTTAGATATTACAATAATATTCACTTATCAATATAATCTGAATAGTCTTTAGTTCGGTCCCCTTCGGTCTGGATTTGAATGTCACAGTTGAGTACACAAAATTATCGGCATATTTGTTTTAATGTAACAAAGTTAGTGAATTAACGTCAAATTTATCAGATTTATTTACGAAGTTCGACTTCATTTCAACAGCAATAGCTCATAAGTTCGTTCAAACACACCAATATTACGCCCCGCCTGGACCCAATTATGAAAATTCTTTGATAGCTGTCGACAAACCCTTCTTTTGTGCGACAAACCTTTTGTTCAACTTTATCTATGAATAAGAAATTTGATGATATACGCTCCTCTTTATCGTATATTAATTTCACTCGTTAAGTAGTTGTAATTTCAATAAAATACATAATATAATATAATACTATCTCCACCATATGAAACATAAGTCTTTTCAATGAATAGAAACATATAAGAACATGACACAATCACGCGACCCTAGAATTCAAAATTCCTAAACTAACAATATACTTTTACCATCAAAAATGGCCAAGAATGATTCCTATAATCTATATCTCAATTTTTAGTATATTTTGTTTAAATTTAGGCCAATTAGTTCCGGAGGTCAGTCAACTACTAATAAATACAGACTATGTCTATGATTCATACAAATATTATAAATGAGAACGTCTGTTATGTCATAACTACTAAACCAATATTAATGAAATTTGGAACACAGAATGAATCTTGAGAACTAATCTAGGATAGTTTTTATCATGAAAAACCTGCATCCCATGCGAAACTGCACACGGATTACTAGGATTTTCATAGTCTTAAATTTGCCAATGCAAAAGAAATCAAATATATTGGCTGTGATTTCGCATTCAAAAAATATGACTTTAGGGATAAACTATATGGCTATCATCTAGCCTTCTCGCTTGAGCAACTGGCGATTCTAAGCAACAGAAAAGATTAGGGCGATTGTAAATGGCAATAACTTGCTCCGAGTATTATAATCTTTACTTCAATTTCCCATAGCTTAATAGCCAAATATATAGTTGTTTAAATTAAACAGAGTTTTATCTGGTACCAATCAACCTCATTACGACAAAATGTTGCTCATGCTAAAGCCTGAAAGATACTAAAAATTATCTTTACAACTTCAATTTGCTCAATTTTATTTTAAAGAGCGTAAAACCAAAGATCAAACTTATAATCAGAGAGTATGCAGAATACAACGTCGACATTGCGTAATATGTTTATTGCTACTTATTATTTACCACGTGTTTGCTTAAAGATACCATAGATAGCGAGTTGTTTGTCTATTATGTACTTGATAATGTAAAGATTTAATGATAAGCCAACAACAACTCGTGACATTTGCATTGAAACTAGATTTTTGTAGAAAGAAAAGAGTTCAAAAAATGGTGTACGTAATTCATTATTTTTTTAAATAAACCAATTATGAACAAATAAATTAATATTGAATTTATAACTATTATAAAAAAAATATATTCAGATACGAGTAAAATCACAGCAACAATAATGCGTCACTTGTTGTTAATTGAAGCCCAAGGCAGAGCTTATATAACTCGTCTATCTTATCTGATATACCCTAATTAGTATCTGCACATTATCCTACTTAAATTTTCACACAATACAAACACTTAAATGTGACTATACCTCCAGCTAGTACACTTTCTATTCTTTAGACACATATAACACTTCGAAACTTAGTACGAATACTTAGAAGATTGCTATCCAATTTGAACATTTTCCTAATGCTAAAAGCTACATCTAAAAAATATATATTTTTATAGCTGACTTTAAAAAAGACACTTAAAATATCATCCTGTTTTCGTATGCAACCTCACAGCAACCCAATAAAGGCGACAGATACGAAGTCGAAATTTTCCAATCGTATAATCTTTTTATTACCCCGAATAGCAATCTACTGCCAAATGGGATTCTTTAAAAAATCACCGACTACCCCAAGCTGGATCGAATTCAGGACCTTCCTTGTAATAGCATTTCTATTTCAAGAATCTTTGCCCAATATTCAGACTGGTTTAACAGAAAAATCTTAAGTTAGTTATAAATGGAACTTCAGCCAGACATAGGTAACAATTTCAAATTAGTTTTGTGTTGTTGGGTGAAAATCTATAAACCTAGCGAGCACGTATGAAAAGAGTTTAAGAGTGTTAAGTAAATAAAAGATGTACATATGTAAATACAACGATTTGTGACACTCATTTTTCTCTGAGCAATTTAATAAGAAAATTTAAAGACAGCACATTTTAATCTTGGAGTTACGTAAGAAGCAGACCTATGAACTCTTTTATCTTACTTTAATACCATATTTACCTCCCGAGACTGGTGCATCGATGAATCCAACTCCACTATCTATTGCTACGGGAAATATCTTTTTGGGCACGTTTGGGTCCACTGTACTTGAGTCGATCAGTAGAGCTCCTTTAGGTGCCTGCGAGTAAAAGAGATGGTTGAATCAGAAATCGGGCTCGGGAATCTCACGGGCCATCCGTAACATCTGGACAGATTTACGACGGGACAAAGTCTTATCGAGAACTGAAACACTAGACGATTAAAGACTTTTAATCCGTTTTAAATTGAGTTAGATGAAGTTTTCTAAAAATGTGGATTGGAATAATATTAATTTGGATAAATATCACCCGGTTTCTATAAAGGGTAATATAATCAGATATTTGCAGACAGTTTATTTTTATTTTAAAGATTTATATAGGATAAAACCAATATAGGATAAAATCAAGTTCTGTTTTTGCAATTTTCAATAAAATCTTAGTGATATTTTGGAACCGCTGATTCTGAAATATCACCAAGACCCACACTTGATTAATCCTGTATTAAGTTTTTATCTAAAAGCCATAGGTCAAGCGTTAAAGTTGATTACATATGATCTCATTCGAATGTGCACGTATGATAAATATGAGGTCGAATGTGTGATATATACATCAGAATAACGTAACGTCTTATACTAAAAAATCATACTGTTGTTAGGCTAGGTTAGGGTCTAGTGTCACGATCAAAGACCCTCGAATGAATTGATAGTAAGCTAGAGTACTTACAGCCAATTGCACGAATGTCCATTAATTATTCGTTAGTTTAAATCGACATTACCCATACAAATTTGACTTTCATTCGGTCAGTTGCACAAACGTCCATTAAGGTTTAACGACTCCTTTAGGCTCTAATGAATGTCGAATTTATATGGATAATGTCGCTTTAAACTAATGAAAATCTTAAGGAACGTTTGTGCAACTCGCTGATTGGAGCTTATAGGCGTCATTAAACCTTAATGGATTTTTGTGCAACTGACTGTAAGTCAAATGTCGCATTATCGTTTTCTACTCTTTCGTCTTAGATGATTATATCATTTTTACATTTAATTTTATTCTTTTAGTTTAATTTCATCTTAATGTGTAATCAACAGTTTGGTATCCGGTATGTCACCCATTTATACATGTATGGAATTATACGTCATTCATATAAAACTAAGTAACTTTCCGCTGTCTGTACGCTGAGATCTTTTAGATTGGACAACGCATTTTAATGCGATTTACGTCAATATACAGAGTGATTCAAAATAACGTTTATATGTCGGTAAATTGCTGGCGGAAATCTATTGTTTGATATACTTACATGAGCTACCACACCATCCTTCCCTAAGTAAGCATCCAATACAACTTGATTGCTTGGCAAGATCGACACGACAGCGTCGACGCCATCGACAGCCGCTGCTATGGAATTGGCACCAGTGACACCATTTTTGGCGGCGCTATTGACTGCCTCCTTTGAAGGGTCATATCCACGAACCATGAAGCCCTAGAAAAAGTTGCAAGAACTGTTTAAGCCAAATGTTTTTTATTGAATCGTCTTTTCAGTTTCTGAATCAATCAATTTCTGGGTAAATGCATTGCTATGTTCAATAAAGTTCCACAAAATGTAATTGACCTAGCCATAAATAAATTTACAATTCATGTAAAGAACAGACTTATGAGTAAAGGCTATTATAAAGTTGATGATTATTTTAAGGATCGCAATGTATGGAATTAATAGCCTTCGCTTTGTTTTATAACGTCTAATTTTATGTACCTACTAACCTATGTCCTACAGACTTTGAAAGTTGTATTTATGTTGTTAGATATTTTAACTTTATGGTATTTACTTTCTAATATTGTAATGGAAAGTGACTTCATATTCTAATGAATTATTATTGTGATAATAATCGTACATATTATTTCGGTTATGACATGATTTTGTAAATGTCATTACTTATGATAAAGAGCTGGTAAGTTTCTTTCGCTTGTTCTTCTCGTCAGCCAAAAGACCGTCATGAACAAGTGGTAGATATAAAACATTTTTAGACGATTCAAAAGTGCTTGAAATAAGCTTACTTGAATACTTAATCAATTCTGTTTTTCTTTTTTATTTGAATTCAGAATATATAGTTGTAAATTATAAGACGTTTTAATTTTATTAACATCCTCTTAAGAGTAAATTTGTAATGTAACAACATTGTAACACAACAACAACTTTGTAACAAAATCTACGTCCTAGCCGAGTTTCTATTCTACTCCGGTTTCAAGTCCGGATTGGATTTCAAACCAGATGAATCAAGAAAACTAATCCTTTGTTCCATAACTATAATTTCCCTGGGATGGGACAATATTAATGTTGTTTGTATGTATACCTATTTATTTTTCTTTGAAGTTTTCGTCTTATATCAAGGAAACTAGCGGTGTTTATAATAAGTAATATACATATTTAATGAAGAATGCTTAAAAACTCCACTTTGTCCCTGGTACTCTGAGATGGGACTTGAACCCATGACCCTCGCAATCCGGGTGATTGTTTTAACCACTGAACTAACAAGACTGACGAATTCTTATAGCACTTGTTACTCTTTCGCTTCTTCAGAGCGTACTTTCATCAATGTTCAGGCAATCCACCCAAACAGCCGAAAGAAATATTTCTACAAATATTTAAACTTTCGATGAAGATCAAAATTTGTTCTTATATAACATTTGATCGATTATGCATTCATAATGCTATTCATCAGTCCTATTAGGTCCTGGGTATTTAATGGTTAGAGCAGTCGGCCGGATTGCGAAAGATCATTGGTTCGAATCCCATCTCAGAGTAAAAGGGACAAAATTTATTTTATAAGCATTTTTCACTAAGGATATTTTCCATTGTAGCATTGTGAACTTAAAATTTATAAAATATAATAACATAATTTTTTCTAATTATCCATATAAATGATAGAACTAGAAACTAAATCCTGTCTTTATTAAGACGGTTTATGAATATAACTATACACATAACAACACAAAACGCTGTTTTGATATAATATTTGTGAGTCAAAAGTCTCGCCAATTTAAAGTCGAAAGGTTTCTTTTACAAATTTCGCAACATTAAATGAGTTAACAACACGTTTAAAAACAACTAATATTTATCTTGACATAATTACTTTATAAGTTTTTAATTGATGAAGGATTCACAGATAACGAATTATTACAATTATATAAGACAGTTACCTACCTAATTTATTATTTTTATATTTAATACAAGATATTTTTATGCGACTTCGCCAGTGTAAATTATATCCTATGCCGTTTGCGTATGGTGTAGTTTCCCTCAGGTGCAAGAAATTTTGAAATCGCTCGAGTAATTTCGGAGCTTATTCGATGCAAAAGACAACCAATCAAATCTTTCCTCTGCTTAGCTTAGTTAGCTTAGTATATAGCTTAGCTTAATAAATAAAAGGTAAGTATATAAAAGCTTAAGTTAGAATATAAAAGATAAAGAGAAAATGAAATAACTCCGAGATATTTTATTTTATTCACAAAATGGAATATTTAAATTATTATAATAAATTTCACAAATTATGTTAATTCATTTAATCACGCCGTATTATAATACTTATTAGTTGATTAAGACCGTTTCTGAAAAGAAGATATTAAAATTCGCATTAAAACAAAAAGAAATATTTAAAATGTTGGAAACAAAACTTATTAATCATAATAATTGACTTTTATAAAAACTTGAATTATTGTTAAAGTCTGCGGAAATGTTTATGTCATGCAGCAAGTCATTAATGAGGCATTATAAAGAATGTCCGGTTCGTTAGATTTAGTTAGTGGTAAACTAAGAGCAAACTTCTTGAATAAATGATTTATTTATTCTAGTACAAACATGAGACAAACAAGATACAATTTTTTTTAATTTAATTAATTTTTAATAAAAAATTAGTAAAAAAATAATGTAACATATATGCGATTGCGTCTCACGACTGCACCAAAAAAAAGTTACCAATTCAATTATGTCATACTGGTGGCTTGACGTCGGTTTTCAATTGGCACTTGTATTTTATCCCTTTTTCGACACAAAGACATCAGTGATATCTTGATGAATGTTCCAATACTATTAATATCCCCACTACTGGGGTACAGGTTTGTCCTATATATCGAATCTAAACAAGTCGAATGGGTAGAATAGACCACGGCTCATAACGCGAGCCCTATGAACATTGGTGGGTATTAACTATTTCAGATGCGAAACCAATGACTTAACATGCCTTCCGAAGCTGGAGCTCGAAATAATAAATCACTACGCTATCGAGATCATAAGTGTTCATTAAGTAGTAAACGTCCGTTATATAGCTAAAGTTATTAACGTTACTCTTAAAATATATATAACTCCAAGGAGGTATTATTCTTAAGATTTAATCCTCTTGTCGCTACACGAAAGAGTTAATCAAAAACCAAGTTTTTATATCTCTTATAACGTCGTAATCTGAATTTAAATCTACAACAGATCCAATTTCGAAGGCGCTAGATTAAATAACGAAAAATCTTTCCGGCTAAAGAGATTAATATTTGATAAAAAATATATATATAACCTTAAGGGAAATTTCTCCTCCGGAGATCGTCGTTTTAAATCCGAAGTGAAGTAATTCAACGTGTTTTTCTGGCAGACCTTTTTCCGACCTTTAAAATATTATTTCGTTGAAAAAGTATAAATCTACATAATTTTAGCATAATCTTGGCCATGGATCGAAAATGATTACAATTTTAAATAACTCCAAATGTACTCATTAAATACCCTAAATTATGTTCGGATTTGCGGTCTTTTTATCGGTATAATTTTTTATTTTTTAATATTCTATCCTCCCCGGTTTTGATTGGTTGCATGGTCGTTTCACATTAATCTATTAATAACTAGCTTTCACCAGCAGCTTCGCCCTCGTAATCCCTAGGGAAATGTTTAGTACACCCTATCTGTATACTTAATTTTATCAAAATCCGTTCAGTAGTTTCGGTGTGATCGATGGACAAACATCCAAACAAAAAAACTTTCACATTTATAATATTAATAGGATATACAATCGTTAACAAAGTACTCAATGGACCCACATTAATTCAACCTTTTCTTACTTTCTGCATTTAAACAATTTATTGATGTTTTTTAGGAGGGCATCACTAAAGTAGTTTGCTTTTGGTTGTTTATCACCTGACAGGCGATACCAACTACAAAAGAGGTTGCATAAATGCGCAACCTCAAAAGAGGTAGCATATTACACAGCTTCAAACCTCTTTAAAGTCATGCATGACGGTAATGAAAAAAAGAAAAATATTGCGATCGTCGCTTGCTTTTTTCAGCGCTCTTGTTTATGAATAACATTGATTTCGTTCCACTGATTTTCCTGGCTTCGATTATATATATGATTTGCAATTATACTAGCAAAATACTTACAGAAGACTATCCTCATTATGAATGTAATCCTGGCTCAAAGTTCGGTAAACACTTTCGATTACATTTAGAGTTAGGGATTGTCCGCATCGCGATATTTTATCGCGCGTATTTTATTTCGCTGTGACTTAACACTTTGTGCGCATTGTGATCAAAATTCCACGCGATTTCTGACAGTTTTATGTAGGTCCCGGTCGAGACGAACGTCTAAAAACCAGCAAAGTGCGAGCCGTACTCGCGCACGTAAGATTCTGTACCGGAACGAAGCAAAAAAAAATCACGTTTGTTTTATGAGTGCCCCCTTAAATATTTATTTTATTCAAATTTTTAGTATTTGTTAATATTTCAACTATCTTACTTTCATGGTTCATGAGATATTGGATATAGATTGGTGACAGACAGACAGACGGAGCCTTAGTAATAAGGTTTCCGTTTTACCCTTTGGGTACGAATTCCTAAAAATGAAGTACAGAAACTGTGCCTCGTTTTTACCGAATAAAACACTTTAGGTGTTTATCTACGAGACATTTTATTGAATCGAAAAACAATAGCATATGATATTGTCAATAAAATTAAAAAAATATTATTTATTCATTATTTGGTGAAATGAGGTTTGATTCACAACAATTTTGTATATTATCAATGTATATTTCTTTTTTTTTTTTTTTTGGTTAATTTGTCCCCCTTGTTTGGGACGGGCAAAGGATGTTAGGTCCATACAGCCCTGCCTGGATTTTCTTGATCTTTAAATCTTTTGAATTGTATTTTTGACAAATCTGTATACAGGAACATAGCTGTCAATGTTTGATAAGAGTTTTCTTAAGTCGCGCGGGATGGTTTCCTCGTTAAAAATCTTCATTCTTTGTAATTCTTGAAAGAGTATTTTTCTTTGTGCTTTAAATGAGGGACATTTGAAAAAGATATGTTCTAGTGACTGGTTCTCCATGTTGCAGAAGTCACAAATAGGTGAGTTAACAATCTTTAATCGATACAAATGATCTTTGAAAAGGCAATGGCCTATTCTTAATCTGCTTAAGGTAGTGTAAAAATCTCTTGACTTGTAATCACCC